AAACAATTTGAAATTGAAGGGCTAGTCCGAAGAAGCAGTAGAACAAGAAATGAACAAAACCTTGATAGTTAGCCTTATTTTACCCTCCATCAAAAGACAAAGGGTAGGTGGAGTCTACCATCGACCTAAAGTATCCATATAATGTATACCAGGGCAAAGGATAGTTTAAAGGACGTTATTGTTCAAACATAATTCAAAAATCAGAAAATATCTGCTAGCCTTATTTTACCCTCCATTAGAAGGAAATGGCTGGGCCAGCTTTCAACTTAGAGCATTCATCTCATGTATTTTAGGTCAGAGGATACCTTGATAGACGTTATTGTTCAAACATAATTCACAACTTAGTAATGCCTTGTTAGCCTCATTTCCCCCTCCATTAGAAAGAAAAAAGGGGTCGGCTGGGCCAGCCTTCAACCTCGAGCATCAATCTCATCTATTTTAGGTCAGAGGATACTTTGATAGACGTTATTATTCAAATATAATTTCAAAATTATAAATAATCTGTTAGCCTCACTTTACCCTCCATTAGAAGAAAACAAGGGGTCGGTTGGGCAAGCCTTCGATCTAGAGCATCAATCTCATATATTTTAGGTCAGAGGATACTTTGATAGACACTATTATTCAAAAATAATTCAAAAATTAGTAATAACTTGTTAGCCTCATTGTCCCCTCAATTAGTGAAAAAATTTCCCTCTTCTCTCTGGATTCTGAAAGAGTGAGATCTGATGAATCGATTAAACATGTTTAAACTTTTATAGCATGCTTGGAAGCTGTTATTAGGAGACAAAATGTAAATGACTCGTTAGCCTCAATTTGCCCTCGACTAAATGCTTCAAAACTTTTATTAATCGAAACAAAATTAGTTGAACTATAGATATGTGAAATATCATATGTCTATCTTAAAAGTTCTTCCTGTGACAATCTTCTAAAGTTAAAATGGGAAAATGTGGACCATCTCGTGCGAACTTTCCTAATGACCAGGGTCATTTATAGTATTTACACTTTTCAGACGCAGAAATAATTTTAGTTGTTGTGTACGGAATGAGATCAAACAACTCATACTTTCTCCACATCACGTGTCTTAACACCGATTTAGTTACCATTTATCGTCATCTTCTCACAACACTTTTAGAAACATCTCTTAAGTGCCAGCTGGTAAAGTCTAGTGCACACCCGCGCCAACTTTGGATTGCGATTTTCGATCACCGCCGACAGGTCAAGTCAGATCAATACCGCATAACTAACAACCGTCGCGAACAATCTGACCTTGACAGCTCAAGTGAGCATCACGCTCGCGCAAAGCAGTTAAAAACCAATGTCTGTAAGCCTGTGTTCAGTGCCAGCGTACCATCTCCGTTTGTCCTCTCTTCTCCCCGTTCTAACACTAGTTTTCCTCTTCGGAAATCAATTGCTAGCACAGTATGCTTCCTGGTACCAGATGGTAAATCTCATGCAGATAGAAAGGGCTCCTGCGCCTCAACACCAACTAACAAAGATGATTCTAGGGAATCTTCAAGTCAGGAAGGTGAAAACGGAAGTGGAAACTCTCCCAACAGTGTAGGACAGGACTCTTCGTCAAGCGGCCCCCAGGACAAAGGGGACAGTGATGATGACGACGATGACCCTAAAAAATCTGGTAGAGAATCCTTTAAAGATACCAGCCTCTCACCCGATCAGGATAACAAGGATGAGGAAACGGAGCCCGAAAGCTCCAATCACCCTATTAACTATAACAGTGAACATGATGGCTACACTTCAAACCAAATCCAGAGTCAAGATAAGAACTTTCTCACGAGTACCTTGGCTTGCTCCGGAAAGCTAGAACTCAACTTTGGACCTGAAGAGTCGGAAGAGGACCTACGCTGCAGATTAACACCAACGGAGGATAATCTCAGCTTTTGTGATGAAATAACAACTGTAAGACGGTTAAATACGCTACCAATCATAACAGGGCTAAACGACCCTATCATCAGACTGAGAAACCTCTCATCATCTCCAGGATACACCTCGGTCAGCTCAGGAAGTCATTCTGCTGAGCCCCCTCGAGACATATTCCACTGCAAAGCTCTCTTCCCAACTCAGCCTGCGAACATCCTTTACTGGTCGACAGACAGTACAGTATCCTTCAGGAAATATGGAATTCACCAGCGTGAGTTCTGTCTATTCAGCTCTCGCTACTACCCGAACAAATCATGGGACACATATGATGCCAAGGAATTCAAAGAAGTACCTATCTTACTTCAGTGCATGAACCAAATCATAAGCGATCATCGCATCGATGAGAACCCCTCTCTCAACAGCTGTCTGGTCGAAAAGATCAAAATGAATGAACACACACCAGAGTCAACAGTCTTTCCCCCCGAGCTCGATTCATATGCAGAGGAAAACTCCGCACTGGCAATCCTCTGTCTGGGTGAACAGAATGCTATCGATGTCATACCCAAGGCACACTCCGGAACTTTGCTTGATAAAGTTGAAGCAGGGAGGCTTTCTCCGGATCATGGGGCAGCAGTATTCTTGTCGAAAGATGCACTCAAACGTCACCAGGTCCGGTCAGGGGTTGGACTTGATAACTCTAAAAGAACCGATGCAAGAACTTCTTTCAGACTTGTCTTCTTTCGCTCAAAAATAGACCCTGACGGCACGTTGTCATGGGACAGTGAAGACATTCCCAATGAGAGCATCAGAGCATCCAGATTCTGTAATACTCTAAGCTTCAGAATGGGCCAAGTACATATATACCAACAAATATTGGATAAGCTTACCCTAGCTGACTTTACTCTGATACTGGATGCCATGGATCAACCCACATCTAGTAGCGACTCTCTGAATGATATGAAAACTAGAACAGAAACTCTCTTAGCAGACCCTTACTCACCCCCCAGCTATGCTGCTGTAAGTGTGATATTAACTAAGATGAAACTGAAAGACGCGAAGGAGGAGCTTGCTGCATGCAACCAGGAAAACAATGGTGCTGTAGCTCTATTAAGACAGAGACTAGGTAGATACCTAACTAGGGACACCGAACAGTCACGGGACACAAGTGGAGATCTCTTCTCTTACTCCCCTGAACCACCACTCTCCGAAACTGCCCCAGTTCCAAACAACGATGTGTCTCCTAATGAATTCTGTTTTACTAGCTCACTGCCCAACGCTAAGGACTTCCTAAGATCGCAGCTGGACAAAAACTCCTCTACCCAGCAGAAATCCAAAACAAAGAGAAAAAGAGTTCCAGCTGACACCACCTCTGGACTAAGTTTTCGAGGACTTGAAACTTACATCAAATCACTCGAATCAGTTACAGAAAACGAACTCACAAAGGAACTCGGATTCCTCAAACTGAGTAGTGAAGGAAGCTCAAAAATCAGGAAAAAGAGAATCACTCAACACCTGAAGAACCCTAATAATCTCTCCGCTGCTACATCTGAGCAACTCAGTGATGTGCAGAATAGACTGGAAGTGATGGAAAGGTCTAATGTGTCAATCAGCTCTATTCTTACCGAAATAAAAACCGAGATTAAAGAGCTAAAACTCACGATAACTGAGATGACCCCTGCAACTAAATCAACCGGGAGCTGCCAGGTAGCAACAAAATGCTCAAGTGGCGCAGATCTACTGAAAAATCTGTCAAAAGCTACCCAAGACACCAGCATGCTCCTGGAGAAATCTGAAATAGGTCTGAAAGGGCTCACACAAACCCTCAAAGACACTATGTCTGTAAAGAAGGATCTGGAAGTTTGGAGTCAGAGTGTCTTCAAAAGGGAAGAGAATGAAAAAATCAATGAAATCCATGAAATCATCTCTGCCTCAAATTTCAGAAACAACCAGGCAGACCCAGCTCCAAATGTTAGCCAAAGCTATGTGAGACATATCCCCAGGTCACCAGCTGACACACGGACTAACAGTGACATCCCCGGGCTGTCACCTAATCAGGGACGGTCTTCCTACAGGAGAGAAGACCTAGAACCCAGACAAAAAGGCAAGATAATCACAAAAGAAAGTGCAACAACTCCTCGCAGCACAGGGAGATCCAAAAGAGCGAGTAACCCAGTACAGCGCCAACAGAAAATTGTTCTCCTCTGTGACTCGACCATGCGAAGCTTTAAACCTGACGAGTTTCCAAAGAGGTACAATGTCTCTGTAATATACAGGCCAAGTTTGAAAGAACTTGACTCGTGCCTCGAACGAACAGTAGAAGAGATCTCAAACCTCAATCCAGATGCAGTGTACATTCACCTTGGTACTCGGGACATCCAGGAAGGCAACAAGGCTGATATTGTGGTGGGGTCATTAATCAAGTCTACTGAAAAGATTCTTAGACAGACCTCACAACACTGCCAAATATTCATCTCTCACCCCTTTCTCCGCGACCATCCTGGAGAGGAATGGGGTAAGAATAGTCGACTCATCACAGAGGCAATCAGAAATCTTAAAGATGACAGTGAAAAGGCTGATTTCTGGATGAGATCAAGAGAAAACAGAAACAACAACTTCTACCCGGGGGGATCGGATATCCCACACGACTATCTGTTTGTCCCAGATCAACCTCATCTAAATGACAGAGGTATCAGAGTAATCATGGGAAACTTCAAGACAAGTCTCAATAGTACATTTAGCAGGGACCGTACTTGAATTCTAGTCTCTCATTCTCAGCTCCTCCAAGTCTTCCGAGTTCTTTTCTTCTTTCCTCCTCTCCTCTTGCCTCTCTCATCTTCTATACCTGACTGATGAACATCGTCAACGGTATAATTTCCTGGAATGTTGCAAACATTCATGGCTTGCTCGGAAACAAAGTTGAGGATCCCGAATTTGTCAAAATCATCAGTCCAAATGATATAATCTGCCTCCAAGAAACCGGATGCGAAGTTTCCCTGAAAGGATACAAATCCTATAGTGACATCCGCAAATCAGGTAAAGGAGGAGGAGTAACCACTTTGGTTAGGAACACAATTGTGGAATATTGCTCTCTGGATAAATGCACACTCACTGCGGACCATACAATGAATATTGTCATTGTTAAAATCACTGATCCCGACAGCAATCTCAACACCTTTGTTGTCAATAGCTACATCCCACCTACAAATAGCAAACAGAAAAACCGCACTAACTGCTCCGAGGCAAACTTTGATGTCCTTCAGGAAAAAATAACCAGCATCAAGAATAACCCCAGTGATGAGCTATTACTTCTTGGTGACCTTAATGCCAGGATAGGAGTAGCTCCAGATTTTCATATGTATGACAGAGCGGACGAATTCGAGCTCTTTCCAGAAACTGGCAGGTCTTCCGACTTCATGGTTATACCTGACGTGGCACCTATATCTCAAAATAGGAACAGCCAGGACAAAATTACCAATAGACACAAAAACCTTTTGCTTGACCTCTGTGGATCACAAAACCTCCTGATCCTTAATGGACGTACCATCGGTGACTCTGCTGGAAAATACACATGCTACAAGTGGAACGGAAACAGCGTAGTGGACTACTTCATTGCATCAACATCCTTTCTTCACCGTGTCAAGAGCCTCTCAGTGGGTGAACACACTCTGTTCTCCGATCACAATCCAATCTTACTCAGCCTTTGGCATAGACGAAGGGCCTCTCAAAGGAATAGTCAAGCTCCCACCAGTATCTACGAGGAAGCTCCCTTTCGATACAAGATCACAGAAGAGGGTTTAGCCAACTTCACAAAATCATTTGAACAGCCTGAGTTCATTCAAAGAATCTCCCAACTGACCAAAGATGTCGAATCCACTCCAAAAACCCATGAGGCAGTTGAAGCACTGAATAGGCATATTACAGAACTCATAAACGATGTCGCTAAAAAAGAGTTCGATATCTCTAAACAAACTAAGAATCCAAAACCTAAGTTCGCCTCATGGTTTGACGGCAAGTGTCACACTGCACGACGCCTTTTCAAACGGTCAATAAAAATTGTCGACAACAATCCTGATAACCAGAGAATCAAAACACGGCATCGCGCCAACTCTAGAGGATATCGAAAGATTGTCAACAAGAAAAGGGATGACTTCTTCAATAGCCTTAACAAGAAGATTAAAAACGGTAAAACTATATCCTGGAGAGATTTCAAGAAGCTTAAGAACTACAAGAAGGAAGAAGTCCAAACTGAAACGGAGCAACTCAACTCTTTCCATCAGTTCTACTCTGAGCTATATTCTGACAATCATCCAACCGTAGACACTTTCACTAAAAGAGCTCTCCTCGAAGAAACCAACGCCCTATCCGAGGGATCTGCCCCTAATGAGTCACTGAACAGCCCATTTACTTTGGATGAGCTGAACGCTGCGCTAAGGGAACTCAAATCGGGCAAAGCATCTTCTTTTGACCACATCAGCAACGAAATGCTCCGGGGTCTGAGCGTAAATATGAGGTCGCTCCTCCTCAAACTCTTCAACCTGTGCCTGGAGACAGGAGTCTACCTCTGGAGCAAAAGTGTGATCACACCAATTCACAAAAAAGGGTGCATCAGGAACCCTGACAACTATAGAGCAATAGCAGTCTGTAGCTGTATCGGAAAACTGCTCTCTACGATGCTGCTATCTCGGCTCGTTAATCACCGCCAAATCTCACATCCTGATCCACCCAACCAAGCAGGCTTTACCAAAGGAAGTCAATGCAATGACCATATATTTACGCTGATGTCCACCATAGAAAAATACAAGAAAGTCAAAAGTAAAATATATGCAGTATTCATTGATCTTCGCAAAGCTTTCGATCTAGTCTGCAGACAAGCTCTCATGTTCAAACTAGCCTGCTATGGTGTCAATGGTGGCTACTACGACATCATCAAAGACATGTACAGCAAATCAGAGGGTCATATTAAGATGAATGGTAAAATCAGTGAAGCATTCAAGATCCTTAAAGGAACTGAACAAGGACACCCACTTAGCCCTGAGTTTTTCAAAGTTTACTTTAAAAAGCTTTCTGACCTCCTTAACGAAGCTACTACGAACTGTCCGACACTCGCTGGACTTTCAGTGACTCACCTAGCGTGGGCTGATGATCTAGTTATACTTGCCCTAGATGCTGAGTCCCTCCAAAAGTTGCTTACGATTATTGGGGACTACTGTAACGAATGGGGTCTGGAAATCAATATCTCCAAAACCAAATTCATGGTCTTCAATGGTAAAGGACCAGACATTCCAAATTGGCGTCCTTCCATTCACGAAAGAGATATCGAGATGGTCTCCAGCTACTGCTATCTTGGGATTATTATAAGCAGCACAGGGAAATTTCGGCAAGCAACTGACTCTCTATACCGAAAAGGACTTGGAGCTTACTTCAGCTTGAGAAGCACTATAGACCGGAGATTCGTTGATGCATCCTGCCTCAACAAATTATTTAACACCCTTGTTAAGCCAATTCTACTTTACGGCTGTCAAGTTTGGGCCCCGGTTCTACCCACCGTCAATAAGGTCCTCTCTAGCTTCAGCAAGTTTCACAATCTTGATCATGCGGTCTCTCACATCGCTAAACAGCAACTTGAGCAAGTGCATCTACGACACCTAAAATACCTTCTTGGTATAAACAGAAGGGCAGTCAATGCTACAGCCTGGGGAGAAACTGGCTCATACCCAATCATTATTGAAATGTTGAAACTGAGTACTAAATATTTCAAAAGAGTTATGAGCCTCCCCTCTACACAACTAGTCAAAGCTGCAATGACTGAGCAGATTAACCTCAAATTGTCATGGTTTGTAGGCATCGAATCAATCATCAAATCATTCAACAACATCGACCTCCTTGAAAGGAATTCATCGTCGCTGCTGAACGCAACCTCACTCGCAGACTCCTGCAGCCCTGAATTAATCACAGAGAACCTGAAAAAACAGTTCCGCGATTCCTGGGGTTCTCTTGTGAAAGATTCTAGAAAGCTATCATTCTACAGTGAAGTCAAAACAGAATTTGCATGGGAGCCATATCTAACCTATGCTAAGTCTTTTCAGGACAGAAGGGCAACCACACAGATTCGGTCCAGTTCTCATCACCTTAGAATTGAAAGGGGGAGATATGACAAAACTCCAATTGATGAAAGGACCTGCAACTATTGCGAGCTTAACACCAACCAGCTATTCATCGAGGACGAGAATCATATGCTCCATTTCTGCCCCCTAGGGAAAGGTCCTAGGGACAAATTTCAAAATCTCAGTGGAAACCTACTCAACAATGTTGGTAATGGTAGCTTCAATCTTGCCTCCACGTTCATGTCGCAGTCTGATTGCAAGGATACTCCCAGTGATGAGGACGTAAGTTTGATCAAACTCTCAACCAGCACCATTAACAAGATCTACAGACTAACCCTCAACTTCAAAGACAGTCTGAAAGCAGATAATTAGTTTCCTTTCTCAGTTTTCTTTCTTTGTATTCTTTCTTTTTTTTCTTCCTCTCCTCCCTTTTTTCCTTCCAGCTTTGAATCTGTGATGGATGTGATGGAGGGCTTGCGTTCACTTTTATCCCTACATGGGCTCCCGGCCGTGCGTCCATGTAGGAGCTGTGGGGCCTTCCGAGTGATAGGGTTACAGTGACTGCTAGTAGAGAAAATATGAAGGTTCCACCAGTAGACATAAGTATCGAAAGCAGGGCATTGGCTCGACCTCCGAGGCGGGGTATCCGTGAGGACCCTGGTCGTAATCAGCTCTGCACTGTTTCAGTGTATCCTGATGCCTGAAATCTCGGACACTGCCTACGTACGGGGTAGACAGCCACGGATGATTTTGTCTGTGAGCTTTCCATCACTTCCTGACATGAGCCAGACCTCAGCTGGATCCTTCCTTTTCCTTTTTCTTTACTTCCCGTTCAGTCTACCTCTTCATCATCAGTTTGAGTTGCTTCGCCTTGCATTCGAACTTTGCCTCCACAGTTCACCACGGCACCTCTTTTGGATGCCTCCTACCGGGCAACACTAGCTCTCAGACACTGGCTTGGTTACCGCGCACGGCTTAGTTTCTGTGTCTTTTCTGTGGCCGTGTATTCCGTTTTATGCCACCCTCTCTGCCGTTCTCGCGCTTGCGCTCACCCACTCCTCAGTGGGCTGTTCATTTGACAGAGTTACTGGCTGGCACTCCCATCATCTTCTCACTCACCATCACTGCCCAATCAAATTTATGCAATCAAAATCACTATACACCCATAATCATATGATCAAAACACAAAGCTTTGAAATATACTTTTTTCTGTTTGAGATTTGAATAACGTTACTGTAATGTTCCAAATTATATTTTAAATGTTCAAAAAAATGTTCAAAAAATGTTCAATTATATTGTTTTGACTTTGAATCTGAAAAGCTAAACATGACTTTCTGTTAACCTTCATTTCGTCCAAATCTAACGTTTTCTACAGCTAAGGAACTAATAAGATTTTTATACGATAATAACAAGCTTTTGTCAACAATAAGTTCTGTCAAATTGATATTTTGATTTTTAACAGTCCAAATTCCAATCATCTTAATTGATATTAACTTTTATATTGTTTCCGTTTAAGGTGTGATTGATTATGATAACATTTACTAGTTTTGTACTCGTTAAAATATTGAAGCATTTACTCTGCAGCCGAATGATTAAATTTTACCCAATCCGATACAGTTGATCCCGATTTGCTGGAAATTCCAGGAGAAATGTTTGAGAAAAGTTTATTTGGAATTTAAACTAGACTATAGAAAAACTTAGCACTTATGGGTGTAATCAAAATTTCACGTTAAGTCGCCATATCGTTAAATCGTGCCAGCCCCAGTCGCCCAGAGCACCTTGCTCTGGGCCTGGCGCAGAGCAAGGTAATTTACGCCTTTTAATTTTTGGTGTTAAATCTAGAAAGTTCCCCTGGAGATTTAATTCGATTTTGTTAATTTAATTTAGTTCAATAGATTGATATGTAACAATTATAATATCATGATTGGTGAGCTGATGATTAGCAGTATAATATTTGAAAACAAAAAGTGATTATGACAACAACAACAACACAACAATGGCGAACCTAGCAAGCTAGGATCGAGGGGCCGATCTCCTTTTCTTTTGCGATAATAATTTTTGGTGTTAAATCTAGAAAGTTCCCCTGGAGATTTAATTCGATTTCGTTAATCTAATTTAGTTCAATAGATTGATATGTAACAATTATAATATCATGATTGGTGAGCTGCTGATTAGCAGTATAATATTTGAAAACAAAAAGTGATTATGAGATTATTATCAATATTCAATAACATGTTTACAATTAATTATGATTTTCGTTATTTTTGACATCTTATAGTTAGGGCAAGAATTGCTGTTTATGGGTCAATCTGTGAACAAATTCGTAACAAAGGTTTGTCTACAGGAATGTGTTGTCCATAGTCCCAGGAACCACAAAAAAAAACCGTCCAGCCGAAACTTTTGGGCAAAAATATTTATAGTCATTTTTCTCCAGGAACCCATACGCCCCACCCCTAATATTGGTTATTCGGCTGTCGAAGGTCTTGAGATCTCCATAGGGGGTGCAAAATGACCGCAATGGCCACATTATGGCAGGCGAATGATAGTTTCAGAACGATTGGAACTTTTTTTTCGAAATAAGTGGAATTTTTCGAAATTTTTCTCAATTTTATTGAAATTTCGAAAAAAAATACACCAAATTATTTTTAACGCTGATTTCAAATCTATTTAAAAACTCATCTACAAATAACAAATACAGTTAATCTAAAATGTGTATTCTCAGTAAATACCATGACAATTATTAATACACAGTTAATATTAATCAAAATTCGCTTGTTCTTCAGGTTCATCATGTCTAATGTTTGTGCAGTTCATACCATGGCATCGTCCACAAGCTGGCAAACAATTGAAGCCATATTTCCTACATGAACATCTGAAAGTCAAACAGGCCTGTTCCACATCGACAGAACAGTTACAACATATAAGGTTCAAAATAGAAGTTCTGGAGCAATTATAGCGTTTGTTGCAACTGGTTCGTAAGTGCCAGGCCAGGGGGGATCATGATTTTTGTCCGTTTTTGTTCGTTTGGTACCTATATTTTCAAAACGAACAAATAATGAAGCGGACAAAAACGGACAAAAACGGACAAAAAATAACAAAAATGGAAATAACATTTAGATGCTTCTTCCTCCTCCTCCTCCTCCTCCTCCTCCTCCTCCTCCTCCTCCTCCTCCTCCTCCTCCTCCTCTTCCACCTCCTCCTCAGTCATCCGCCTCAGTTCTCCTCCTCCTCCTGAGTCCTCCTCCTGGGTCCTCCTCCTCCTGAGTCCTCCTCCTCCTCTTCATCCTCCTCCTCTTCATCCTCCTTCTCTTCCTCCTCAGTCCTCAGTCCTTCTCCTCAGTCCTCCTCCTCAGTCCTCCTCCTCATCCCTCTCCTCAGTCCTCTTCAGTCCTCCTCCTCAGTCCTCCTCCTCATCTTTATCCTCAGTCATCTTCAGTCCTCCTCCTCAGTCCTCCCCAAGTCCCCCTCCTCCTCCTCCTCCTATTCAGTCCTCCTCCTCATCCTCCTCAGTTCTCCTCCTCAGTCCTCCTCCTCAGTCCTCCTCCTCATCCTTCTCCTCAGTCCTCTTCAGTCCTCCTCCTCAGTCCTCCTCCTCATCTTTATCCTCAGTCATCTTCAGTCCTCCTCCTGAGTCCTCCTCCTGAGTCCTCCTCCCCCTCCCTCTCAGTCATCCTCCTCAGCCATCCTCCTCAGTCCTCCTCAGTCCTCCTCAGTCCTCCTCTCTCTCCTCTGCAGTCCTCATCCTCCTCCTCAGTCCTCCTCCTCCTGTGTCATCATCCTCCTCTTCATCCTCCTCCTCAGTCCTCCTCCTCCTCAGTCCTCCCCCAGTCCCCCTCCTCCTCCCATTCAGTCCTCCTCCTCCTCCTCCTCAGTTCTCCTCCTTCTCATTCCTCCTTCTGAGTCCTCATCCTCCTCTTTCTCCTGAGTCCTCCTCCTGGGTCCTCCTCCTGACCTCCTCCTCCTCCCTCTCAGTCATCCTCCTCAGCCATCCTCCTCAGCCATCCTCCTCAGTACTCCTCAGTCCTCCTCCTTCTCAGTCCTCCTCAGTCCTCCTCAGTCCTCCTCTTCAGTCCTCCTCCTCCTTTTCCTGGTTCCTCCTCTCAGTCCTCCTTCTCTTCCTCAGTCCTCCTCAGTCCTTTCCCCAGTCACCCTCCTCCTCCTCCTCCTCAGTTCTCCTCCTTCCTTCGGAGTCCTCATCCTCCTCTTTCTCCTGAGTTCTCCTCCTGGGTCCTCCTCCTCCTCCTCCTCAGTCCTCCTCCTCCTCCCTCAGTATTACCTGAAAACTAAGTTCCAAAATAATTTCGTACTTGATTTCCAAACTTAAATACCTGATAGTATTAGTAACTGCATCGGTTGTCAAAAAGTCCAAAGAAAGAAATGGAAATATCTTAGCATGAGTATTAATATGTTTAGTCCGTTTGATCAAACGTAGTACTATTCTCCAACTCCTGAAACTGTGTGACTGTACTGCAAGATGACTGATGAGCCCCAGGAGGGAAATTAGGGACTTTGTAGATTTTGATTAATTCACTGTGCATACGTGATTTCTTTTTAACCAGAGCCACTGGTATTTTTAACATCTTCCCACGATGCACGCTGTCGAAAGACCAGTGACTTAGTGGAAATTGAGGGATCGTTCCTTTGATGGTAGCACAGTAGGTTATCGGATAACTTATCCTACTCTACTTCTAGATTGTGTAGGCTGACCGTAGTACTGTTATCGAACTTCCCTACGAGTCGAACTACCGTCCATGTATCAACATAGTTCAGGGCTTGTCGAACTTTTATATTTAGTATGTGTCAAACTATTTAGTATTTGTCAAACTTTATTGTGCGTCGAGCTACAATACTTCTTTTTGTAGTTAACAACTGTGTCGTTTGTAGACAAAAGAACTCATCACTTGTTGGAGTCGAAGCTTGACTGTACTTGCCTATCAAATATATATATAAATATACTTTCTCATGATTGCAACTCTTAGCTTCGATCGAATAACTCATCATCTTGGAGAGCCTTACGTCGATGGGGATATAAATTTGCATCACGTATTATCACAAACTGCTTTTAAGATTTTGTGAGTTCTAGGAGCATACAATTGTATTTTTAACAAAAATTGCGCCCGTTTTCTCGGAGGGGACGGACGCGAAGATTTGCATCCCCTGCCCATACTCAGAATCAGATCATTTATACATTTTTAACTTCATCATAGACTTTGACTTACAGTTTAACCCCGATTTATCGTTCCCATATTTACAGCCGTACCCAGTACGATCTAGTTTCTACCCTTTCCCCAAAATTTGTAAATTAGATCTCACGCAATCCTTGGAAATACGAGTTATATCATGACAACGGTCAAGCGAGCTTGTCCGTTGTC